TAAAGGTAACATTGGCTTAGGAAAACACAATAACATTTGTCTAAAATTTCTCTTTATTTGAAATGATTTTTTTTTTTTTTTAATGAAAGTTTATTTTTTATTAATGAAAGGTGGAAAAGCTATGGGAGGCTGGGAAGGAGGAATCCGTGTCCCAGGGATATTTAGGTGGCCAGGAGTGTTACCTGCAGACACAGTTATTGATGAACCTACAAGCCTTATGGACATCTATCCTACAGTAGTTCATCTGGCTGGAGGGGCACTTCCCCAGGACAGGTACCAATGCAGGTGTCTTTATTCCTCCTCCCCCAGAACAGTGGGAAATCTGGTTTGGAATCACACTTTAAGAGTCTGGTATTTTCTTTTTCACTCCAGCTCCTTTTCTAGATGCATAAATGTTATCACAGCTCATTCACCTCTTCTCTACATTTGAGATTCACTATCTATCTGTAGTCTTCTACAAGCATCTTCCTCATTCAGTGTTGCCAGTTCCAGCAAGAGGCGTGCAGCAGGAATGCAGTCCTGCACGGCTTACCCCCATCTGATGGTGTCTGGTTTTTCTGTTAGGGTAATTGATGGCCGGGATCTGATGCCTTTGCTGAGAGGAACAGCTGAGCACTCAGAGCACGAGTTCCTCTTTCATTACTGTGGCATTCACTTACATGCTGTGCGGTGGCACCAGAAGGACAGTGAGTACAGAACTTCTTTTCCAAGAACAAGGTTCAATCTATGGGAGGGCACATTTGTCTAACACATTTTTTTTTTTTTTTCTGGGACCACAGTTTTCCAAGTAGTTCCAGCTGTAAGGTGGCGAAGAGCTTACTAGCATTGCCTGTATTGTCTAGCACAAAGAGTTTGTTCATGGCTTCAAAGCACATGGCATGCCAGGCAGGCTACTGGAGCTCAGGATGGGTCTCATCAGGTCAAGACCCACCTCTCCATCTGAATGCAAGGCCTGGGGAGTCCATGACCTCCTTGTCTCATGGAGAAGTCCTTGCCTCAGCCCTTTGACTGTCCCCTTCTGCTACCTTAACAAGGAAGCAAGCCATGGCAACTCCAAACCTTTTTTTCATGTCTTCATAAAAAACAAAGTGAACAATAACTGGTACTTGCTGAAAATTTTGGAAAAATTTCAAAACATCAGAAATCATTTTACATTATTGGCTTAATTTTGTAGCACTTAATTTTTAGTGAAATTACAGTACTACCTCAACTGATAAGTGTAGAGCTGAAGTGAAACCAGAAATGAACTCCAGAAAAGCATTCACTCTTCTAATGCCTTGTAATAACCACCAGTATCACTGCAAGCCTTCTTTCTTTGCTACCAGGTGGAGCTGTCTGGAAAGCTCATTATGTGACCCCTGTCTTCCATCCTCTGGGAGCAGGGGCTTGTTATGACAGAGGATTTTGCCCGTGTTTTGGGGAAGGTGTGACCCATCATGACCCTCCGTTGCTGTTCGATCTCTCGCGAGACCCTTCTGAAGCCAAACCTCTGTCGGCTGACACTGAGCCCCTCTTTGACTCTGTGATAAGGAAGATTGGAAGAGCCGTAGAAGAGCATCGCAGGACACTGACTCCAGTCCCAGAGCAGCTCTCCGTGTACAACGTGGTGTGGAAGCCGTGGCTGCAGCCCTGCTGTGGGACGTTCCCCTTCTGTTGGTGTGATAAGGAAGGTGATAATAAAGTCGCCAACCTATAAAGGAAGGAAACAATTGCTTCCTCAAAAGTGTTTTTAGATCAAGAGCGTTTTCTTTGGGGGTGTTGATTGGTGGGTTGGAGCCTTTATATGAGAATTGTTCCAGTGAATGGCACAGTATTTGGTAAAGGTGGCTTTAGACTGGACACTCTCAGGAGGGATCAAGACAGACTGGTCTGAAAAGCATGTTTTAACTTGCATGTGCTGACAACTGAATGAATAGTTCAAATGCACTGAAGCAGGCCAATTAGAGCTGTACAAGTAATGATATAATTTATGTTTTGTTGTTTATGAATATATACTTAGAAGCTTTGCTTTGTATTTTTGCTCTGAATTTCATAGTGATTCCCGGACTGAGGTCTCCCTTAATTTTGTTTTCCTTACTGGTGATGCATAAGATTCCCCTATAATAAATTCTTGCAGACTACTGTTTCCAGAATAATTCAAAAATCATTTCTCCCACAGTTCCTCACAGAACTTCCTTTAAAAATAGCTTCCTTCTCTCCTTTTAGCTAGTCCCTTCAGCAGCAGTGATGATGGCAGCTGATTAGCCTGGGGCTTCTGGATCAGGATAAACTGCCCCTGTGAGACAAAAAGCTTGAAAACATGACAAGCTGGGTAACGGCTGTCTGTGCTTTCTGAGGAAGATGTAACTCCTCTGATTGGAGTCAGCCTCTTTTGATGGAGAACACACAAAAGAGAAAAAGGATTTTCTGTTTCCAAAGCTCCCATTGCACCCATCTCCCAAAGGAGCACCAGGAAGGGCATAGTGGCATTGATGGGCACAGAAGTGCCACACTGATAACCAGTTCAGACATTTGGGCACAGGATGGCACAAGTTACCTTGCTGCCCACATCTCAGTCATAACTGGTTCATACCAACAAGTAGTAGGTTCGGAAAAGTCTCTTTGAAAGATGCCAAATACTATGAAAACAAACTAATTTACTATGACAAAAACAAAGAAATGCAGAATCAAGGTATTTCTTGCTTCACAAGTTACATTTTCATCCCACCAAACCACTAGGGTTACTTAGATCTATTTCTTTGATGCTGCTCTTTCTTTAGCTTCAGTTCTTTCCTTCTTTGTGTTAAAATAGTTGTGCTTAGGAAAGTGGTCTTGTAGGTAACGCCTTTCTTTGTAGGTTACAAGATATATCTGTTCACATAGACAAGTTTACACCAGCATATCTGAATATATAGTCATCTGAGAGCATAATTTGCCCAACCGCTTTATTTCACCTTTTTTACTATTGTTCTAACTATTGTGCTAGGTCCCATTCCTCTTGTTCATCTCCTCTGATAAATGTTTGGTTTATTTGGGTTTTATTTCCTCCCTTGTTTCCCACAATTCAGCCATTGGGAAATTTTCAAGTAAACAACTTAAAAGCAGTTTTATTTTATGTTGTGACTTCACACATTTCACAGACTTATAATTCACCCAGATGCTCCATCAGTGCTACTGATGAGAAAGGCACTCAGTCTTGCTGTGAAAACTTTAAATGATTAAGTGAATCCATCATTTCACGTGTATTGGATTGTTGCTTAATTTGCTCCATTGTTAGGAGTGCGTGCCTTATTTCTCATTTGAATGTATTCTATTTCAGTGGTTCTTTACTGACTAGATTTAAACACCTTTTCATATGCAATATGCAGTGTTTTCTTTACTAAAATTATTGTAATCAGACGGACATTTTTCAATTTTCTCAGTCATTTTCCAAGATATCACTTCCATTCTCAAGCCAGTTTAGTATCTGGGATTTTATATCCTCTCAGTTTTTCAACACCTTTAGAAATACGTGGGTACAATAGCTGTTCATATGATTGAACCAGTTTTTCTTGCACAGAAATACTTCAAAGCACCGTAGGACATCCATTTGGAGATAGAGGGTACAGGAAGACACCTGAGCTAGAATTGTCCTGGGCACAGTCACCAGGCCCAGCTGATGTGCAAAGTGCCATGGGATCAGCAGAGTTTCAGGGCTTGGTGACACAGACATTACAGGTGGAATGATCGTGGGCAATAATAAAAGCTGCCTTAACAAAACCATACTGTCTTTCTTTTGGGTAGTCAGCAAATGATGGTATCCTGCTTTCTTGTGCAGCTGCAGCAGAAAGCCAACCCTACTAAATTCGTTTAATTTCCTTTTTCTTTGGGAATTCTAATCTGATATTCATCCATGTTAAGTGATGTAAGGAGCACAGCCGCCTCCTCCAGCCGCCCTGGCCCAGGACCCTCCTGCCCAGCTGCTGGAGCCCACCCCAGTGCCCGGAGACTCGGGGTCTCTGCCCAGGCTGGGGGACACGGCTCCTGCTTTTCCCTTTGCAGGTCCCACCAGCGGTGAAGCTGAGCGTGTGTCCCAGAGACACTGACACACAGACACACGTGCAGAGTGCTGGCACAGCCAGCCACTGTCTCCATAGGTCATGTTGACATGCGCCGTGTAGTCTGAGGAACATGGTATAGGTTCACAAGCAGTTTTGATAGATTCAAACTGGTATTTTTTAGACAAAAACAAAGTGGTGCATCAAAACAGTCTCCGTGACAGTAAGTATAATGATAATTTGTCACTGTTAGGAGTCCTTCAGGCTGTTTTCCAGTTGAAGTGTATGATTAAGTCAGGTATTTCTTTAGAGTAGTCTTATTCACTTACAAAGAATGTATTATCTCCTGTGCATTCTATAAATACCACAGGAACTCATCTGTTTCTTTGTTGTTCTTAACCTCTTACTGTCATCAATTTGTTTGAAAGTCTTTTCTCAGAGTAATTTTTCACCTTCAGGCTATTCCCCCTTTTCCATTTACCATACTGCTGTTATGGCAGTGAGAGTTGCAGTTTCGCACAGCTGGGCTACCAGCTTTTCTCTATGTCAAGAAGACATCCAGATTTATTTTGCAAACTGAAAGATTTAACAGTTAATATTTGCTAACATATTTCAACCTGTGTTTTGAGCTTTTTGTTTGTTTGTTTACCATTACTTATCTTTTTCAGCTTTTTGGAAGCTCATTTAAATCAGTGAAAACTTCCAATTTCAGGAGACTTTACTAGCCTCAGCAGAAGACTGGGTTACTTCCAGGACTCAAACACATGAACTAATTACAGAGTTGACTTTCTGCCATTAGGCAGTTCCTTTATTCCCTATTAACCATTGCTACAATTATGAAAGTATTTATAAACCAATTACTTATGTTCATTGGCTCCACGAAATCTCATAAGCTCTTTTTAAACAATAAGGGTAAGACGAGAATGTTATTTTATCCTCTGTTTATTATGTATTTTCTTTTCTACTTCTTAAAGCAGGCAGAGTTTTAACAAGGCCAGAGATACACTGTTTTGCCTTGAAAACATGGGCTTTTCAAGTTCAAGATTCTGGTTTATACCTCGTTCTTGTGTGTGATTTATGTTACAGGACAATGCAGAGGTCCTCCAACTTCTGTAGAAGCTTACCAAGGAAAGTAACAGCAATGTTAAGGGCAAGCAGTTTTTAAGTGAGGAAACGATTTAAAAAATTGTTTCTTCACATTTAAAAACATTCATATTTTCAGGAAGCCACCATCAAGGTGCTTATTGTGAATCCACAGTGACCAACATCATCACCTTTTAAATGGTGGGTTGGGTTATTTTTCTGGACTGCCTTTTAGCTTAGTAAATATCTGACAGACAATTTAGCCTCCAGGACTGATGAGAATCTTCAGTTTGAAGGTCTGGCTTTATAATAAGGTGATTGGCCTCATTACACTTACTTTTGCCTTTGGGTGATTTACTGATTTGATTTCAGTCAGCTGTCATCTGCCTTGCTGGTTTTGATCTCTTGTTCTTTGCCACCTTCTTCTCATTATGGATGTGTAAGACATAGAAACAGGGTTATGATGAGAGCCCATGAAATTCCAGCACAACCAGTGGTGACGGAAAGGACTCCATTTCTCATCTTCAAGGAGGAAGCATCAGCTATTGAAAATTATTTCCCTGCAAATTTAATTTCATTTCCAGAGCATCTTGCTTCTCTGTTTGAATATCTGAGAAATGAATGATCAATAAGTTAATTGTTTTAAGACAAGATTTCAAAAGTAATACTGACTCTATATTAATGATAATATTATGTCTTCATTCCAAAAGCTAAGGTAGCCCTGAATTTTCTACAACCATTAACCCTTTTTAAGCACTGCACATTTTTTAAAACATTCACATTTTGGAACAGAATTGTACAGACTACACTTAAATAAATATTTATTTTTGCTCGGGCGACCAAAACTTTTTAAAGGATTGCAGGCAAAGACGGGAGCAGACCAGCCTTCCAGAACAGCACATCCTGTGGCAAGGACTTAATGCTCACTTCAGTCATGGGCCCAACAAATTAGTCACATCTGACTGTACTTTATTTGAGCTACTGACTTGTATAAGAACTACAGGAAGGCTTTTTTCTGTTCTCTGTCCAGCATTTCCCAGCATGAAGAGATCATCATAACTTCCAGTCTTCCCACTTGTGCCGGTACTGCTTAGGGCAGGTGCTACAATAACAAATATCACTAATCTCTGTAAAGGATCAAAAGCCAGGGAATCTTACCTGCTGTGCAAATCACAGGTGGCTCTGAAGTTTTAAACTTTTCTCCTCTGTCTTCCAGTCACATGCCAAAAAATGCTACCACAGCTTCTGTAGCCATAGCTGAAAAACCAACACAGATCTGCTAAGAGCAGAGGCTGATTTGTTATTCTAACGATTGTACAATTAATAATTTAAACTCTCTCCTTGAAGAAGACTATGTCAAATGAAATAATAGGTATGTAAACTAGGTTATTCCTTCATTTGATATTATTTTTTTATTTGGAAACCAGTGCAGCCATTCTTCCCTTTTAACCCCTTTCATGTGTCCACAACCTTCTCTTTACCACTGAGAAATTTCTTGAGAGGAGCAGCAGAGGTTAGTGTGGAGACTGTGCAGACAAGGTGAACTGGATGGTGATTAAACTAACATGGCAAATAAGCATGTCTTCAACTACATGCCACATAGGTCAAAATATACAGGAACAATGCAGTTGCTTATAAAAGAACAACGAAGAGAAAAAGCAAAGTATTTAACGTGTCAACTGTAACTTCAGTCTGTCTGCTCGTCTCTCTGTTCCTCCTGCTCCGTTACTTCCTTTCTGAGATCAAATAGATTCTTAGAGCTTTCATTCTTTCTCTTTCTGTGATCTAGTGTTTACCAGATGTTTAGTATCATTAATAAATTTTGTTTAAAGTACCTAATGTCTTAAATAAGTGTCTAAATACAATGGCTGTTGTTACAATATGCAAGCATACCAAGGCAAGTATATTCAGCAGGCTCTGATTTTAAATAGCGCCATGTGGGACATTTCAAATATTGATACAGCTGATAAACATCGTTTTAACCTTACTATTACCTGTGAGTCTTCAATATTCAGAACCGCACTGACTGTTGATGAACGTTTTCAAATACAAAAAAATGTTTATGAATTTTAATGTTTAACACTCAGGGCCACAGCCCGTTCTCTGTCTCTGCATTGCGTGACAGGGTCTTGGTCTGGAATTGGATCTCTATACACAGCAGCAAAGACCCTGCTGACACAGAGCTCCCTTCACAAAGTGCTGTTTCTTGCAGGCTTTTTCTGCGATTGAAAATACAGCTCCTGCAAACACTGATGTTCAGGCTCTGTGCAACTGACCCATTCATTATGTTTGGATGGCTGGGGGGCTGAATTTAAAGCTGCTCTCTTCGGTTATTCCTATATGTTGGGGATTCACATGTCATATACAGTGATTATATCACTCAGCTTGCCAACTAGATTGGCTTGAAGGACTAACAATAAAACAGCCTTTCTGTAAACCCCAAGCTAAAGGTATTAAAGTCACAAAAATGACAAAATAACCTATAAGGACATGACAAGTAACACTGGAGAAAAAAGTCAAATAGTATCTAACGTTAAAAACTACTTTTCCATTCTGGGGGGGGAAAAAAAAAAAAAAAAAAAAAAAAAAAACACAAACAAACAAGTATGTATAATGTAAGCTAACTAAACCTGGTTAAATCAACAAAAATGCATACTAAAATAATAACACAAAATTAATATGTAAAAATAGCAAGTGTTTTTAAAAAGTCATGTTCAATCTATATAAAAGAATTTGAGAAATCAAGAAAAAAAATATTCAGAATCAGGCAATACCGAAGTTGTTTTATTTCACTATATTCCAGTCTTTCTCTGGAGGACAAACTGAAGATGCTGTTAACAAGAAGGGTTTTAAAAACAGGAGTTTAAAAAATCAGAAGTCTTACCCTTCTTCTGATATGACAGGTGGTCAGGGACACAAGATGGAAGAGCCTTTCTAGTGAGATTTCCACAGGTGTGAGTGTCAGGAATGGTGTGATCAGATCCACACTTGAGTAAAAGGGCCAAAATTAAAATTAAATCCCTACTCTCTTCATCGTGTCTTTGCAAAGTGGATCCTTTCCGTCAGCGTTCGTTTGTAACCCAGGAACTTTCTGCTGCTTCCTGAGTTGTTCCATTTCCACGCAGTACTCTCCAAGTCCGTCACAAAAAATCTCTTTCTCTTTAGTATTTCTGAAGCTTTATTTTAATATCTGGTCCTTAATGCATGCAAGCATCCTTCTCTCCTCAGGAGTATCTTTGTCCTAATTTGAGCTGAATGCTCCTTCCTTGCACTATCATTTCTTTGCCTCACTCCATGAGCCTCCCCCAGCTTCAATTATTTCTACCAGTGATTTCTTTGGGCAGAGGTTCTTGAGGAAAATAGTGCAATTTCTACTGCTATATCCAGATAAATATTTAGGTCCCCAATTTTCTCCTTGAGACTCACACACTGCACCCACTGATGGTACTATGAATCTCATTGTATCCATACACTGTATTTATCAAGGTCTCGTTAAAAACTTCTCATTGTTTTCTCCACTTTGCCATGGTATTTCATATTAATATTTATTTTGGCCTCTGAGCAATAATATGGCTACACCAAGAACCTCTATCCTTTTTTATGTCTTCTGAATAAAACCCTTATTCAGTGGATTACAGCATGACACACTTGCACCCTCTTTTTAAACCACGACAAGCACACATAACCAGTAAAAAGAAGGGCCCGCTCCCCCCACGGGCCTGAAAAATTGCCTGGCAAGCCAGACTGTGCAACCCACATGAGTATTAGCACTGGCACGGGAGAGAACACACAGACAGAGGAACTATAATTAACATAATGGAGAATTAGCCAGGCTGCCAGAGTTGGTATACATACACCAATGTGACGATGGACTGATTTCCTTAGATCCCGAGGCGGCTAGGGGCTCACCCTCCACATTAGCCACGACTATCCTGCTTCCATCCATAAGGTGGTTCTCCACACAGCACCATGTAGCCTCCAGCCTCCCTGCCCACGATTTATTATCTTCCAATCAGTTGCCACTAAAGATCTATTGGCCTTGGCTGATACCGGAGCTGCATTTCCAGCTTCGACTTTTTTCTGCCTTATCCCACACTCGGCGGCAGAAGCCAGCAGGACGAATTGCCTTTGACCAGATTTTTAAAGGAGACCGACACCCACTAATTGCTCCGACAGGAATAGTCAAGCCGTGCTTTTGAAAGCCCCTCTTTAGAAGCAAAGAGCAGAAAGCCTGGGGAGAAAAGGAAAGTGAGAGCAAAGCTCCTCCTCCAGGGAGCAAGTATGGAGTAAGTAAATGATCGGGTTTTTTTATGGAATAAATAAATAAGTAAAAAGTCACCTCTGAGTCACCTCCTGGGAGGCATCCAGCCCCTTTCCTGGCGGGTCTGAGGGGGAAGCTGGGCAGGAACAGCAGCTTTTGCCCCACGGAGCAGTGCTGCCCCTGGACCCTGTCCTGCCTCTGCCCTTGTCTGCATCTTCCCCAGCTCGGCTCTGGCTGCGGGGGCAGCCCGGCCCCTGCCTTCCACCAGCTCATCAAGAGCAAAAACATCGTGTGAGCAGGGTCAGAGTGTGTGCACGGGGGGAGGGAGCTACAAGAATTAACAATCTCTGTTTTCCTTCCCTTTGGCAGTTCAAACTAAACTGCAGGTTTTGGAGAGTTAGGTGGCGAATGGCAGGTATTCTGCTTTTATTACTATTACTGCCAGAGTTACTGAAGCTTTACAATGGCATGCAGAAAGCATCCTTTGCCTCCAGGTTGCTTCCATATGATCTTCACTGTTTCTCTAGCATCTGTGCTCCTAGTCGCTGCCTTTCATCTCATTTGTCTGCCCTACTTCTCTCTCCCATTTTCCACCTTTGTGCATTGCTCTTGTCCTGGCCGTAGGGAAAGCTGCGTCTTCCTAGATGAGTAGTTTGAAGCCAGGAGGCACAATTAGATCATTTAGACCAGAGACTGCTAATCATGATGTGAAAGCGCATGAGCTAATTTAAAGTCAAGAGCCAGACCTTTCCCTTCGGCTGTTGCTCTGAAGGCTGGGTGCTGCTGTGCCCCAGCAAGGCTGGAACAGGGCAGCCGTAGTAAATTAAAACACTTGGTTGCTTGCCACAAGAATTTTGATTATAGACAATACACAACACTAAATGATAATACAATGCCATAATCATGGTAACAGAGAACGAGTATTGATATTATCCAGCTCAGTAAGAACTAAATCCCCCCAGGGGAGCCCTGTTGCAGTCAGTACAGAATGGATAAGAAAAAAGCTGAACCCCTGAGATGCTCCTGATATTTGGCTTATACCTTTCTTACGAGGACATCCCTTGCTTTGTGGCTGATGAGCAACACCTGTTTCTGGCTCACCAGCTGCAGGTACTGAGCAAGTGACTGCACCAGCTGGGAGCTTTTTCTTCATTCTTTCGCTGGGTCCTCACTCGCTGCCTCTCTCTCCCTTCCTGTACATCTGGGTGCCTAGAAGCTATGGGAGAGAGGGAGAACAAAGTGAAACAATATGTTGGATGTGTTTCTTCTAGAGCCATAATGTAAGCTGAAATTAGCATTTTTAAATACATTCTACTATACAGTTGAAGGTGATTAACCTGTTGTATAGCGTATTTTTATAGAAGGTGGAAAACAAGTGTTTGTTTTTGGCTAACAGCTAAACAGCAACATACCTCCACATGTTATTTGAAAACATTTATCCTAGTACTTATAGTTCAATTTTTTTATATTTAAGTAAGTGGTAAAGGGTTTGGGGTTTTGTTTTGGTTTTGCTTCAGAATGCAAATAATTTCTTTCAGCATCTGAAGTTAGACAAAGATAACAAAAAGGAAGTATGTTCTTTTGCTGTGTCCTATTATTGACTTTTAGCTTAACTGACAAGAGCTTATTTGAAATTTTTCTTTTGGAGCTATACCTCTCTTAACATTTTTAAGAATAAGAAGTTCCTTTCAACTCTGCTGAATTCCTAGAGCAAGTGGTGGTGTTGCCAGTCTTACCGGGATGAGCATGAAACATCAGATATGCCTGGCTTCAATAAATATTTTGACTATAAGCCAATAGTTTTGAAGTGAAGGTTTGCCTTTTTTCTTCTGTGTAAAACTTCAAGAAGGATAGACTCTAATCTGGCAAAATGTTCAAAAATTGAAATATTTGGAGGATGGAGGGAACTGCCTGGAGCCAAGCTGCAGTGTGGGAAGAAGGGGCTAATTTTCTATGAGTTCCAAGTTTGTAGCTTGCTTTCTGTAAAAGGAAGATGAAAAAAACTGGGGTTTACACAAGGCAGCTGGGTAGAAAAAGCTATATAACATTGATTGGAATTGTTACAAATCCATTTGAGTCAGGTTTATCTAATTCAGCCACTTAATAAACCAAGCACAAGCTTCTGTTGGTAAATCTCTTCAAGTGGTGACTGTTGAGGCAGCTGCAGGCTTTGTGGAATTCCTGGCAGGTTGAGTGAATTATAAGTCAATTAAGCCTTTGTTAGTGGCTGACAAATTTGAAGGAAGAAGGGGGTAAGGCAGTGGTGTGTAGTATCAGCTACAGAAGACAGTAAATTTTGGATAAGGTTTACAGACAATTAAAATTGTTTAACTAAGGGAATACATTCACACAAAGTTGTGCTGGCCAGTTCCTGCTGTTCGTGGCTCTGTAGGATTTGGCCTCATTTTGCAGAAACGTTTAGACTGAATTATTATAGAGTCCTGTGACTTTTCATGTGGAGGTAGGAGGCTGAATAACTGATGCTGTATACTTCCGGTTGTAAAGGAAGTAACAATGTTTTTAATTAATAATGACATTTGAGAACTCATCAGTTGAAATTAAGTAGGAATAGCAATGATAAATTGCAAGTCTGTACTTGCTATCAGCTTGAAAATAATCCGCTCAGTTAGACTTTGGGGAATCCACAGTTGCTTTCAGTGATTCTTTGCTTAGGGACACTTGTTGAGAATAACTCAGTATCACCACTCAGAGTCTCCTTTGTCTATGCAAAGACTAAGCAATCTATAGAATTAGTATTTTAAGATTACTTTGGAATTATATGAACCAGAAGAATTTACGTAGTGGAGAGGTTTATTACTGTGAGAACTAAGAGCAACCTGGAAATGAAAAAGGAATGTTTTGATGAGAAGCAGCCTCTTCAAATTGAGGGCCATTTTCTTCAGGTTATTTGAACTTTTTAGCAGAGAGTCTTAAAATTAACTTTAATTGAGCTCCTTTAGGTAACTTAGGAAAAGATGTCTCATGAAGTGGCTGCTGGGGAAGATACTATGGAGTTTGTATCAGATTGTTACTCTGATCATGTTTACTGTGGACAGTTAAATTTCAGCTGACTTGTGTTTCTTTGCAATACTTTTCTTTCCTCCACTTGCAGTATGCAATCATGATTATATTGCACTCTTCTTGGAAACATGATTGAATAATAAATCACCCTGTTTGCAGAAAATGCATGCTCTATTTGTCTGACTTCATCTTCAAAATACTTGCTGTCTCAGCAAAACTGTTGAGCTTTCTAAGATCTGTGTTTTCTCCCCATTAATTTATGCACTAATTGATCTTTTGCTGTCTTCTTGATTGAGCTCTTGTTCTCTCAGAATAAACCATCTTTTCCCACTCTTAAATTGTTTATATGTGGTTTTCTGCCCCCTTCTAGTTCTTAAACTTCACTTTGAAAACAGTACACTTTTCGTCAGTACACAGTATGACCCCAATAGTACTTGTATCTTTGAAGTATAATGGTCTCACTAGTCCCTCTTTTGTAAGGATATATAAGAAATGATTGAGTTCTTTTTTCCTCCAACATCACACTGGTCAATATGTTCAATTTGCTGCTTACTATAAGCTTAACTTACTTTCAGGATCTCTGCCTACCAGGAGATGACTGTACCTCCACCTTGCACAGCCATTGCTGATATTCTATTCAGGTGAACAGATTTCTGGCTCGTCCCTGCATGTATTTGTTTCTACTTGACAGAATTAAAATTGTCTTGTTTGAACCGACCCACCTTTTTTTCCCAAGTAACCCTGGGCTCAAAAGAATCATTTTTTCTGATGTTTTGTTTGCTTTAAGTCTTTGTTGTTTCCTTCCTTAAGCCCACATAGGAAATTCAACTCCATTAAAAATTATGTCGTCATTGTTCTCTCCTCCCCCCCCCATTTTTTTTTTTAATTTGTCCCTGATTGTGAACCCCACACTGTTCCGAAGTTGTGTTTCCCTTTGCACAAGCCTTTAGAGAAGTAGTCTAAGATTCTAAGCTCTTACACAGATATAAGTTCCCTGTGAAATCTTGTAGGAGCAGCATATTTCTTGACCAGAAGGATGTTATAATCTCATAATGCTGTAATTCTCTGGATGCACTAAGCACAGCAGTATCACCTTAGAAAATAATTCTAAGGCAAGTATAGGCACCAAATTTCATAGTTCAGCAGGTGGTTTGTTTTGTTTTATTTTTCAACATCTGATTACCTGTGCCAATGGTTCCTAACCTGTCCTCAGAAAATTATTGTCAATAAAGCTATGGGAGTTCAACTATGGTGTAAACCCATATTAGATCTTGTAAATAAAAGTTACATAAAAAGTGGCCTGTATTTTCCTAATGTTTTGCACTTATCTGGTTCGTTAAGCAGATGTTGTAAAATCACTTAGTAATACTGGCTGCAAAATGATTTTTAGGACCATCTTAAGTACATACTTATTTAATGTCTTTATGGTTTTAAACAATGAGATCTATCTCCCAAGTGGAAGTCTCTCACTATGCCTTTAACATTACCATTTCCAGAAATAGCTTTCTAGGTAATTCTGAAAAGGTTTATATCTATACATACGTATCTATGTGCATGTTTTATGTACTACTTTCTTTCAACCCTATTGCTTTGAAGATTTATTGGCGTTTATTAGCTAAACATTCTTGCCCTCTTCCTCTATGTATTGCTGAAAGATGATAACTTTGAGCTCTAAGCATGGTTATTTTACAATGAACCATAATGCTACATAACAATTTAGGTTACAGACTTGGAACTATAAGCAGTAGGTTACTGGAGATGGAATTTGTCCTTGATCCTGTCCTAATCCACAAACAGGATTACCACAGGGATCAGCACTTAACACCGTGAGAAAACAGAGTGCTGGGATGGGGCTGCAGACACCAGTAAAAGCAGATTTCATAATTTTCCTTCTTGTTCTTCTTCTTTTCCTTTTTTTTAATGTAACAGAAAGAGGTGGGGAGCACTACTGTTGTCCCCAGCTTGGAAAGAAGAATGCCCAAGTGACTGAAGTGGGCTGTTGGTGGCTGCTTATTTCCAGGGTTCTTTAGAGACCTTTCCCCTGCAGTTCTAACTGAATGTATTAGCACTCTGAAAGGACTCATTATGCCAGTATAATGCCCCATAACTCTTAAGAGGTATAACATTAGTAAATAGAAAATTCTCCTTTCCTCAGAATGAGTAATCCAAGTATAAAAGTGGAA